AAGGTCAGACTTTTCAAAAGAACAAAGCTGCTTGCAGGCTGAACAGTAGGGAATGCAGGCTGGGAATGTGAGGAAGAGATAATAGTGGAATGCAACTTCTTTTTACTACATCTGAGCCTCAGTTTACTTCTATCCCCAGTCCCCATCTTCTGGGTCAACCTAGTAGACCTTCTTGAAGGCTGACACCTTCAAATACCTGAAGGTAGTTCTCATACCCACCCTGACCCCCGGGCCCTTAGTCACTGTGGGCCAAACATTAGACAAAGAGCCCTTTTAATCAGCCACTGTGAAAACTCCTCCCATTTAGGGGTATCTTTTCTCCCTTCTGCCATCTACTGGTGGAAATAAAAATGTCATGTTCTCCTACCTGGCCGTTCCAATCTGCAAATATTGAACAGGTTGGAGTCCGAAAGCTCATTTGTGTCATACTTGTTTGTTATGTGGAATACATTTTTCCAAAGGAAGAAATTACAAATGATGGCTCAATCTTCATGCAATAAGCACTTGCTGAATATGAAATTATACACACACACTTAACACACACATAATGTATTTAGCATAAAGAGTAGAGGCTTGAAACCAAATTTGGTCCATTACACGCTGTATGACAAGCTGTATGGGCAAGCTACTTAGCCACTCTTCATCTGTAATAATAGTAATAATAATGCCAATCACAATGGCTAACACTTATTGATCATTATGAGGACAGCCACAGTAGAGTTCATTTAAACCTCGCAAGGTAGGTTTATTACTATCTGTGTTTCTTCAGATAAGGAGATTGAAACAAGAAAAGGTTGAATACTTTGCCCAAGGTCTCACAGCTGGTAAGAAGCAGACTGGATAGTCCGGCTCCTTAGCTTATAATGGGAACAATAACATCCACCTTTCAGGATTGAAGGGAACTAAAGACACGTGTGAAGATGCCAATACACAGTATGTTTCAGAAAAGGACAGATATTGAACCTTCACTGTGTGCTGGGCCCTGCAAGATGTTAGAGTCACACCCACAAATAGGCCATAGGCCCTGCCCCCTGGGCAAGCACGACCACAATACCGCGCTAAGACTGAGTTCATCCAAGACAACGTCTGACTTTTCTCTTCAGTGTGGTCTTCCTGGTACCTGGCACAGTGGCTGGGATAGAGCAGACACTGGAAGGGAGAGAGGGAGGGAACAGAATTTAAAAATCAATAAAACCAGCTTCAAGACTCTGAGGCAGATTGGCGAGATGCTCTTATTTCCGTATTAACAAGTGAGAGAAATCGAGATTCAGTAACTCTCACGAGGTCACAGAGCTACAGCGTGAACAAGTCTCTTGACTAACACTTTCCCCACATTTCACTGTGTTCCGCATCCCTGCAGTTTCTTCCAGTCCCTAGATGGCATCCACAGGTTAATGAAGAATTATAGTTTTGGAAGGTATTGGGTGGACTACAAACAGATAAAAACTTCAAGAATACGAAGACATCAGGGCCCACCAACTAGAGATTACATAGTCTCTACATGAGCCCATTTTTCCCCGTCTCTCTTCCACTGGGCACAAATCAACTCTTTCTTCTAGGTGAGACTGTTCAGTGTGATTTCCCAGAGTTCAAGTTTCTGCAGTTATTTTTAGTGCATACCTGGGACAGGTGAGGCATGAAAAAGAATGTGGGTCTGGGTAGCCCTTGAGTCTCTAGTGCCAGGGTCTGGGTCTCTCGTCATTCCTACTAAAGAGGGGTGACTCACACCCTGATTTATTATCAGCCCTGAGGCTAGATTTCACCTTGAGAACTATGTGGATTAAAACTTCTTGTATACTCTCTAATTCTGCATTCAAGTCTTTGGAGCATACTTGCTTGATGTTATTTTGTTACCTGCTTTTGATAACTTGGACGCCTTCATTTTCTGTAACCAATACCACAGCCTGTGGTTCTTTCTGGTCTCATTTCCCAGGGCTTTGAGGGACCTGGGGTAGACAGAGTCTTTGATTTGGATTTTTGGATATATCTGCAGGTAGGAAACTACCCGGAAAACACTCTGGCTATAAGCCAGATGTCTTTATAGAGTCAGCCAAGTTCTAGGATATTCATCACATTTCTGAGGGACTAAGAAAAGGATCATCAAGATCTAGTTGAGTCTAGATCCCTCGGGCAACTACTGGAATCCTGAGTGCCCTTAAATTCCAGAGAGCCTGGAATTCTGGGCCTGCTTTTAAGCCTAGAATAGCCTGCTCAGCTGAAACCCCATCACTGGGATCCTAAGACCCCTTCATGAGGTAAAGATATTTTCCTCATCTCACTTTAGCACTGTACAGAGGAAGTAAAACCACGCTAGCTAGTATCATGAAGCCATGATACAATGAATACTGTATAAAGTGGTTTTATGATTCAGATGAGAAATAAGGGAGAACTTTCTCTGGGCCAGCATTACTAATGACTATTGCAAGATACTCCTTTAAGTCATAATTAGGTGTGTGAATTGTTTGCAATTGGGGGAGGGGGAGAGGTTGGTTGGTTGTTTTGAAGCCCTCAGTTTCTTAAATCAGGAAAGCAGAACTAAGGAGTTACACTAAGATGGGACTAGAAGAAAAGGCCGGAGACCTCCTTCCCCACTTCTAAAACGAGACCCTTTGGGACCTTGACTACAAAACAATTTACATTTCATTTCAGAGGATGTCACTGTAAATTTCTCTACTTCTTTCCATCCTGTTTCTGAAGACCTATCTCCTGTCTTTTCTCCACTTTCTTTGTAATTAACTCTATCTACCACTCGTATTCCACAACACAATCTTAAACCCCCCAAAACACAACAGTCCAGAAAGACGGTCTGTACTGGGCTAAATGGTGTCCCCCCAAAATTCATGTCCACGTGGACCCCCAGAATGTGACCGTATTTGGAAATAGGGTCTTTGTGGAGATAATGAGTCAAGACGAGGTCATACTGGATTAGGATGTGCCCTAAATCCAATTATCGCATCCTTATAAGAAGGCCATGTGAAGGAAGGGAAGGTTATGTGAAGACATGGAGGCAGAGACTGGAGCTACGTTGCCACAAGCCAAGGACCGCTGGCCACCACCAGACGCTAGGAGGCAGCAAGGGCAAACCCTTCCCGAGACATTTCAGATGGAACCCTGCTGATAAATTGGTCTTGGACATCTAGACTCCAGAACTGTAATCCAACAAATTGCTGTTTTAAGCCCCCCTGTTTCTGGTACTTTGTTTCAGCAGCCCCAGGAAACTCACACACACCTCGATTAGGGTTTCAGCCTCAAGACTTCTGCAATCTTGCCTTTGCGGACAGGGAGCATGAAGAACACAAACCAGCAGCTTTGCCCTCATTTACTACTAGATCGCATTCGTCTATTTCTGTGCCTCCTGCCCTTCACAATGACATTTTACCTGTTCTGCCTGGGACCCTAGTTTATGGCCTGGGCCTACTAATATGCCTGAAGACACATCACCCACCTTTCTTCCCTTAGAGTCCTATCTTCCCATCCTAGCAAAGCATAATACGTATATACTTCAGAAACAACAGATAAGCTTTAGAGGAGGTTTTTAACCTTTTTAGTCTCCCCAGAAACATGCATATACCTCAGGGGTCCACAGACTCTAAGTTAGAGATCCTGCCCATTTAGAAAGTTCAGACTCCTTCAGGATAATTCCAATCCCTTCTTATCCACCACCCATAACCCGATTCAAATTCAGCTTGCTTCTGAAGTCTTCCACTGAGCTGAAACAGCACCCATCCACTGGCTTTTACCCACAAGCCCAGAGGGAGAGAGAGTTGCTATTAGCTAAGCCACTCTGGAGAGTCCCATCAGGAAACAAGATAAATGGAGAATTAGCCCCCCAGAGGTAGGCACCCCACCCCTTATTTTTATAAAGATCTTCCTGCAATCAACATCCACACTTGACTCCCACAGAGAATATATTTTTTAAATTTATTTATTTTTGGCTGTGTTGGGTCTTCATTGCTGCATGCGGGCTTTCTCTAGTTGCGGTGAGTGGGGGCTACTCTTTGTTACGGTGCGTGGGCTCCTCATTGCGGTGGCTTTTCTTGTTGCAGAGCACGGGCTCTAGGCGCATGGGCTTCAGTAGTTGTGGCACGTGGGCTCAGTAGTTGTGGCTTGCAGGCTCTAGAGCACAGGCTCAGTAGTTGGGGCACACGGGCTTACTTGCTCCACGGCACGTGGGATCTTCCTGGACCAGGGCTCGAACCCGTATCCCCTGCATTGGCAGGAGGATTCTTAACCACTGTGCCACCAGGGAAGCCCCCTACAGAGGATTTTAATCCAAGGAGCCAGGGATGTGAATCTATTCAGGGATCTAAGAGACTCTGCTCCATCCCCAAGAAAAACACAACCTCCTTTCAAGCAGGACTTCCTTTTCAAAGCCATCCATCCTCTTGTTTCTTTGTTGATTTTTTAAAAGTCATAAATAATGTTTACCTCAAATTAAGGACAACCAATGAATTTGCCATGGAATCACCACTGTCAGTTTCTTGCCTATTAGGAAGATCTTACTAAATCTATAAAGTCTGTAACCCAAAAAGGTCCTCAAGGAGTTTGAATTTTTTTTAAATAATATTTAAATTTATTATTTCCCATCTGGTCTCACGAAACACAAGCTGAGACTGCGGAAGTATCACTGCTTTTAGGTCTAGAAGCTCCTTTTCCTTTACAATTACAGGTCAAGGGCTTCGTTAGCCCAGTCCTCGACTTGCAGCTGAAAAAAGCACAGGTCTGTGTGAAGGGATAGGAGAGCATATCTTACTAGTGTCAGGAGCAAGGAACCAAAGCTGAAGAACAGTCCGAGTCTTGACATCAGCACTTCAAAAATATTCTGCAGGCAATGATGTTCTAACGCACGGAAAGGGGGATGAGCACTGAGTGAGCTGGGCAGGTTCCGGACACAATCCTGATGGATTTCGGGCTGCAGCACTCTGGAGGGAGAGGTTCCATTCTCTCCTTCAATCCTCTTTACAGAACAGAAAGCGGAAGTCAAGTCTTTATAAAAGAGATTAATGGCCTTTCCGTTTCTTCATTTTTCCTCCGGCCACCTTGTTCCTGACACCGATTGCACCCTCCCTATCGTCACCATCCCCAGCAGCCTCCCACGAGCGCTTCTTCCTCTCTCCATGCTCCCTTAACTCCTGCAAGAAATGGAAAGGACGGGATTGAAAATGAATGGCTGTCACTGAGAGTGACACTAGTCTCTGCTCCTTAAAGTCAAACACTAAGTAACTCCCTAACACCTCACATTAGCAAAGGAATAAGACCAAAATCCCAAGATACAAAAATGTTAATCTTATTAGTAATCAAAGACAGGAAGATTAAAACAATAAGCTATTATTATTATTCTGGCAAAGATTTAAGAGAATGGTAATACCTAGACCTGGTCAGGTGTGCGGACAGTCACATACACTGTCGCTCATCGTGTAAAAGTGCTTTAGCTTTTCTAGGGGGGCAGTTGGACATTATGTATGAATTCGGATTTTAACCGTGTATCCTCCTCCACCAACAACTGACTCTACTTCTAGGAATTTATTCTAAGGAAACAAGACAAGTGTGCAAAGCTGTACATATCAGGATGTTCAACAGTTCTAGTTAAAATACAAAAAACTGGGAAAAGCATAAACACACTTCAATGTAAATCACGTTATATATTCATGACAGAATTCTCTGTAGCCATTAAGAAATAATCCCATGAGAATTCTAAGATGCTAGCATCTAAGATATCAGTTTCTAAACTTGCAAGCAGTGCTATTTTTAAAAAACTGAATTCTCTCTCCTCAGATTAACAATTTTCAAAACATTGGAAAGTAATAAAATATACCTAATGCAAAGTCTAGAAGACCCGATTTGGTTTCCCTTGATGAGTCAGAAGGCAGTTAAGGACCTTGCAACAACTCTAAGAGCTTACTCCTGCCACTGGCGTTTAGGAAAGTTTGGTAACTGAATGGATTCAGGGCTAAGACACAGCCTAGATGACACTTTTTGAATAAAGTTTAAAATGTGAAAAAAAAAAAGAAGTGTCGCATGAATCTCTGCTAGTTCAAATAGAAAAATGATATACATTTAGATAAAGGCATATACAATTAGATGAAGTCTAATTATGGCTAAGGAAAGAAAAATAGCCAACTGTTATCAATGGTTTTCTGTGGGGGGTGGCTTATGTGTTTCACTTACTATTTTAATCCTTTGTGTATTTTCTAAAAATGTTTCCCAATGAACATGTAATATTTTTATAAACAAAAATACCAAACAAAGAATTCCATGTGGGCAGAAAAACAAAAACAAGTCCACACCTCAGCTACTCAGAAAGCACCCCATGGGCGAAGTTTCTTCACCCCTCCGACCAGCACCCCAGAGAGCAGACGGCACTTGGAAGGGGCTCCTTTAGAACCTTCTCATCGCCACTCCTACAACCACCGCTACTATCAGTAACTACGCTGTTTACATCAGCTTGACTGATGCTCATAAAACCCTGTATTCAAGGTACAAATGAGGAACTGATTCTGAGAGGTTAGACACCTTGTCCAAGCTCACAGTTCACAGCTGCACCTCCCAATCTGATCTCAAGTCCAAAGGTTTTTTTTTTGCCTCATGTGAAACATGAACGGTGGCTGGGAATGTGGTCACTGCGGTCAGACTGAGTCCAAACCCTGATTCAACCATTTAGTTGTATAGTCGAAAGCAAATTACCTACATCTGCACTTTAGTATGCTCATCTTAAATTTGGAATCAAATATTCCAAGCTGAGGATTAACACAATAAAGTGTCTTGCATGTAAGTTAATTTCATTTGCTGGTGAGAAAATGCATTGCATACCATTCGGGCAAATCTTTGGGCCTCAGTCACACGTTCTGTCAGCATCATAACCTCGTCATCCTGGGTTGGAAAGACAGGCAATTTCTTCCCAATTAAGTGTTCTATGCGCTGGAAGAGCTCCACGTCGTATCTGAAAAAGGAAAATTGCCAGGGCTCTGGCTGGCTGACAATGCACATGTCTGTCCATTCCAATACTATGATGCAACAGGGGCCACAGTTTTCAACAAAATCGAACCTATTATTCCTTTTCAGAATACTAACTAAATGCAATCTTCTGTGCACAGCCCAGCAGAAAACCACCCAACATATCCCTTACTCCCAGAAAAGCCATGGGTACGTGACAATTTGTTCCCTAGAAAACAAAATCAGAAATAGTTATTGTAATACTGTGAGTTGAGGGAATGGTCACTGTTCTCTGGCTCCAGCATTTAAAAGAAATAACAGGGTTTTGTGTGTGCTTCTATATGCCAAGTACTATACTACACGTATGTAGTATACAGTATATGCTCTTTACATATACATCTCCAGTCTTCATTAAAACCCTGCTAGATCGGTATTATTATTTCTATTTTACAAACAGTGAAGGCGGGATGAGGGAGGTTAAGTGACTGTTACAGTAAGTGGTGAAGTCAGGTTGCAAGTCTGTCTGCCCCACAGTTCTGCTCTTTTCTCTATATTGCTCTGTCCCAAAGCCGGGTCACTTACTGTGTGACAAAAGTAATAGACTTTCCAGAGCGCCCTGCTCGAGCTGTTCGACCTACTCGATGGATGTAATCCTGAAACGAAAACGGTAACTTTGAGTTAGCTGGAAGATCAATTAAAAACTGTATGTAAATTCTTCCTGCAAACCTTTGAAAGAAACAGATTTGAGTTGGAGCGTGGAGAGATGAACTGGCAAATCTGTTACAGAGATAAATCTACTTCACTTTTCTTATTCTCCTCACAGCACAAAACTGACCCCCTTTTTCCTTTCTTTTATAGAAAGACAAATCTACAAAGCAAATCTCCATGGACATAGCACAGGCAGAGGAAAATGGCACTACATCTAGAGGCAGACCTGGGCCACAGATCTGCTTTTCCCACCAACCAGTGACACAACTGTCTACAAGTCCAGAACTTCTCTGAACCCTGGTTTGTATCCATAAAACAGGGACACAAATACATGGCCAAACACACAGAGTTACTGTGAAAATCATGAGACGGGACCCTGTCTACAGCAGTTTAATACGAAGTCGAGACACACTAGTTGTTCTCAACTGGGGTCAGTTTCATCCTCCCCAGTGGGCATTTGGAAATGTCTGGAAATATATCTGATTGTCACAATGTCACCTGTGAGTAGAAGCCAGGAATTCTGCTAAGCATCCTGCAATCCAAAGGACAGCCTCGCAACGAAGAATTCCCAGACCAAGATGTTAACAGTGCCGAGGCTGAGAAACCCTGGGATACACTGAGGACCACAGGCTGCCATTTCTCATCAGCTAGACCGACAGAGGTGAGCACGCAGTACATCTGCGCCTCCGACGGTGAGCCTCTAACCCCTCTCCTGGGCTCCTTCATTTACATTCATTAATATCACATCCACAGGCATGTGCAAGATGAGGAGAATGAAAAGATCTAGAGCTTTCCCTATTTTTGACACTTAACTGATCAAGGACACACACACACCAAAAAAACTCCAATACTGTAACTAAGGAAAGACAGAAAACATTCCATTAAGAAATACACTTTGCGGCTTCCCTGGTGGCGCAGTGGTTGGGAGTCCGCCTGCCGATGCAAGGGGCGCGGGTTCATGCCCCGGTCCGAGAGGATCCCACGTGCCGTGGAGTTGCTGGGCCTGTGAGCCATGGCCACTAAGCCTGCGCGTCCGGAGCCTGTGCTCCGCAGCGGGGGAGGCCACAGCAGTGAGAGGCCCG